AAACACAAACAATAGAAAGTGGAAATGGCAGTGGAAATCGAATGGCTAATGACATTTTGGCCCAGTACATCGTCGACTGGCGGAGTACAGTAGGTTCCCGTTGGCCCCGAAGGCAAGGTGCCAGGCCTGGGGGAAAACTCTGGCCAGCAGGCCACTTTGAAGCACTCGAGCCTTCCGCTGTTTACCGCAGCCCCGAGGAAAAGCCGCTCATGTCCGCGCATTTCTAATAAGCCCAAGGGGCACACCTCAGTGCGGCTCTGCTCTGCTCCGTTCAGCTCAGCTCGTCTCAGCCAGCCGCTCAAGTTCAAGTTGAGGCCTCCTGTCGGGGAGAGGAAAAGTGGGAAAGCGGGCCAGAAAATGGCGAAAAAAGCAAACGACAAATGGCTGGAACAGAATCGACATTGGCGCGGAATTAATACGATTTTTATTCATGACTCTTGCACAGGAAAAAATAAGGGAAACTAAAATCAAATAATTATTAAATTTAAAAGAAAATAATAATAAATTAATGTTATCATTTATTTGAATGATTTCTTAAGCTAAAAATGATTTAATATATTTGTATTTTAAAAAAAGTCATCCCTTATTTTCCCAGTGCATTAAGTTGGTGTGGGGTGCCCATGGGGCGATGGCCACAGCGATGGCGATGGCGATAGCCAATCTGCTTCAGGCCGCCGGCTGGCTTCCGTTGCCGGAATGTGGTGACAATGTCTTCTTGGGCTTTTCTCTGCCCCTACCTTTTGGCCAGGGCTTTTGCTTTGGCTCTGGCTTTGGCTTTGGGTTTTCCCTCCGGTTTTTGTTTTGTTTTGCTGCCACAGACAAATGCATTGTTGTTGCTGCTGCTGCTGCTACTGCTTCTGGCTCCTTGGCCGTTGTCGCAATGCTAGTAATTTGTGCAAATGAGCCTCTAAAAAGGCGTGGAGCCTTTCGGATTTTCCAAAGGGGGATAGCGGGGGTATAGCCGAAATAGACAAAAAATGCTTAGAGCGCCATTCGGCTATGTAAACGATGTGGGTCCCCGCCGAAAATGAACAAGAAAGGAAAGCTGTTAAATGTTTTTCCCTCCATTTTCCATTCGTTCGTTTCTTTTTTTTTCAAATTTTTGCCATTGCTTGGGCCCAGTTTTTGTTGTCCTATCCATGGCTAGTTAAATTAAATGATAATACCGTTGGCTTTAAATGTTAATTGAGTTGCCGACAACTAGCTGGCCAGAAATCGAGCCGTTTAGCCCATTCAAGAAACTAAAGGGGAGCACGTGCTCCACCCAGCCCCAAAATAAATAATAGCAGCCAAAAGAAACCATAAAAAACAAGGCAGCAACAAAAAACCAAGAAGAGAAGAAACTATTTACTACGCCTACTCTGACGTTTCGTTATCTGCCAGCAAAACAAAAAAAAGAAGGGGAAAAAATTAGCAGAGGCTAAAAATCAAAATAAACCAAAAGTAAACATTCCGCTGGCGGCCTTAAATGGGGTGATAAAGCGGAGAGCAAGGCGGAGAGCCCGACACACGCCTGCGCCATTGAATTAACACCCCTCTTTCTTCCCCCTTTTAGCGCCTCACAAAAAATACGCACACACATTTTACTGTTACGCATGTTTTCGATTTTATGCCGTATTTCACCTGCAAAAAACAACGTCGGCATTCGTCGGTGTCTGCTTACCTCTTTAATGGCGCGCCACTACCTGGCTTTGGGGCCACCTTCACATCCCCAGAAAGTCGGCCTTTTATTTGCTTAACTCAATTTTATTGTGACTTTTTCTCTCTTTTTCTTTTATTTTTGCGAACGAGGGAGAGAAGATTGAAAAGAAAACAAGGCAGCACGGCACAAAAAATATGTGTGTCAGACACACAGAAAAAAAATACAAAAATGAAACCTCCAAATTAACAGGGACAACAACAAAAAAGAGGTCGCCTTGTTTAAACAAAATAAACAAATAAAACAACGGCCACAAAAGGCACACTCGGAATCGGATTCGGATGCGGATGAGAAGAAACTCCCAGAGAGGGAGAGGGGCAAAGAGGCCAATTGACTCACCTCACGCACAGCCAGGAAAGAGCCAGCAACTAACAACAACATCACCTTGGCTAACAACAATCCCAGGCACTTGTCCGCTGCTGCCTTTTGGCCTGGCCAAAAATAAAAACCAAAATAAAAAACCCGGCAACGTCATATACATTTATATAGATTTCACGGAAGAAAATAAAAAAACAAATCATAAAAAATACCGAAAACAAATGTGGAGACAGAAATAATATTGAACAATAAAAAATGCGTAGTGATATGAGTATATGTATTTATGAGTGTCAGTTTAGGGGCTTTTGTTTTCATTATTTTGAATGGCAAATATGCTGAGATTTTGAATACATTGCGCATACGCACCGTGGCCAAAGAGCTACCTCCATAAATACTTGCCATTAGCATCGATCCACTCGTCTTTACACGGTTTTTCCTTTGTCTGCAACGAAATCCGAGTCGTATTTACCTCTGTTATTGTTTTTCTCTTTGTCGTTTTTCATTTTTCAAATGAACATTTCCGCTTTTGTTGTTGCCGTTGACATTGGCTTGAATAAACGTAGATATGTGCTTTTTACTTGCCTCTTATCGTGCAAACTGATAAGCTGAAAACTCTTTTTGGCCGGGCACAAAAACCTCAATGAAGTTATTTTTTTCAGGGGTTTAGAAACGAAAACACCTTTGTTGTTGTCGTGCCTGCCCTCGGGGCTGTAATCACAGAAATCAGGCAACGACTTTTTCAAGGGGTTTCTTATTTTTGCCCGCGTATAAATTACACTTGAAAATTGTTTAGATTTTGATTGGCGATATCCGAGGGGCCTTTTGTGTGTTGGAAGCTCTAGCACGGAGTCGCTTTGTCTCGCACTTTCCCTATGCAATTTGGTGAAAGTTTTCTCGTCCAGAAACAAAGGCGCATCTCGGGCACGTGGCTAATTCAATAAGCTTTAATTGCAAGCTGCAAACCGCATTGAAATCAAGTCGAGTTTCAGCGAATTTCATGCAATTTTCCACTAATTTCGCCGGTGCATGCAAACGACTGGCCCGGGTCTGGTCCTCCCCAGCCTCGTATCATATCGCATCTCTTACTTCCTGACACTCGGCGAACACAGCAATGTAATTTTGCTTTCAACACCTCTTTTTTCACCCGACTGACTGTTGATTGCGGCCAGCCAACGTGGGCAAATAATGGCTAACAAAACAGCAACAGCAACACAGAGCTATAGTAATAGCAACAGCAACAGCTATAGCATTGGCCATTTCCCAGGCTCAAAGGCTCTTGAGCTGGCCCCGAAATCGGGCGCGAATATATCGCATTTCAATCACGCGCCGTGTAGCCTGCTCCTCTGGGGCAATTTAGCCTGGTCAGGAGGAGACCTGGTCAGAGAGCACAACATCCCATGTTGCTTGCAATGTTGCAACTGCCGCTTGCAGTTTATTAAAGTTGTTTTGCTTTTTCTTTTTTATTTCTTTGCGCTGCGCAATGGGGCGGAAAGCGAACGACGGCCTAACGGTACCGATTGTGCGCATTAAATGGCCACATCGTGATGGCCAAAATCCCCGCTTTCCGCTCTCCGCTCTCCCCTCCCCTCCCCTCAGGCACGCGCCTTTTGCCGGCCGGCGAGAAAAACAGCAGAGATTCGCCATGGCCGGGAAATGTCGATTTATGCGCGAATTTACTTTTATGCGATTAGCAACGATCGGCGGCAGAAATTTATCGTTGAGTTTAGTAAATTTAATTGGGACGGGCAGCGGAAATGCAGGAGAGAAGGTGCCTGGCATTAGACAAAAGGCTAAAACCTGGTAGCAGAGTAATAACATTTTATGACCAGCTCTCGTCTTGGCCGGCCCGCGGCGCTCTTTACATTGCACAATGGCGTCGCAGCACGAGTTGTGTTTGGTGTTTGAGCCCAAAGCAGATGGCCAGGGCGATAACAAAGGCAGAGACGGAGGCCAGAATGCAACTCTCTATTCTGGCTAGAGGATGGAGTCTGTAAGCCGCTTAAGTCTAAGCATCAATAAGTGCACTGCATCTTCATGCATAAGCTGGGAGCCCCTTCAGTGTATGGGTGGTGGCTCCTACTTAATCCTGGCACGCAGCGCGTCACTCTTAGGGCCCATAACGACGTCTCAATCGCTCAATTATGGGAATGCGAATACTCGAACTCGAAACTCAAACTGAAGCGGGCACTCAGCTTGATTATAAAGCTCGCGCCAAATCAGTTTTTCCGTTTCAAATGCTTTGAATTTATGGCAATGTCGCGTCTTTATTATGATCCCTCCCACATCTGGCTGCATTGTGTGCTGCCTTTGTTAAATTTATTCGAGCATGAAACGCTGTTCATAAGGCGAATGCAAAGGATATCTCTGATTTTGGCAAAGCGAAGGTTGCGCCAAGGTTAGAGCTTAAAGCCATCGCGAGAGATATGGCCTCAGAGCTTGAAAGCCAAAGCCTCAGCCAGCTATGTGAGGCCATCGGAAGGAGGCCAATTAATGACGAAACAATAACACACACACACACATACACACAATGGGCGGAATTCAGCGGCCACAGAAATTAGTTAAATGGAAAAATAGTTTAGCGATGTTTTGCATTGAAATGCCGCTGGAGGCGATTATCGCTGAAAAGACCTCGTCGCATTGTTGTTGTGCAAATTACAACGACAACTGGGCGGTTGCTTTGATGTCTAAGCCATAGCTGCCGATGCCTGCGTGTCTATATCTTTATCGTTCACATATATATAAATATGCTATAGTATGGAGATGTTTTGTGCACTTTGTGGGGGCGACCGATAAAATCAAGAATCAGAACTGGGTCAAAGCTGCAACTGATTTGTCATTGAAGTGAGGTGGAAATTGGGTCGGAATTTCTGAAGTGAGATCACAGAAAACGGGTCCTTTCTATTTTTATTAATGTATTTTTTACGAATAGTAAATAGTCTGTATAAACTCAATACTAAATATATGATTTTCCCTTACTTTCCAGCTCACGGAAACGTCCGCCCAGCGATCATCATGACTATGGCAGCGATCCGAGCAAGGATGACGTGATAAAGGCATGCGAAGCCCTCATTTCTATGAAGAATCACAGTAATGACGGTAGGTCACCCACACTTTAGAAAAAATAAACCCATAAAGATTCACTAATTTCCTTCCCATCCATCCATTTCGGCAGCCCTCATGAACCTTCAGAGCGGAGTGGCCGACATCCGGCTGCAGGGCTCCAGTCCCGGCAGCAGCTCATCGGCCTCCTGGAGCTCCGGTTCCGCCTCGCCGCCGCTGAGCGATGACGGCCACGCCCACCACAGCCCACACAGCCACATTATAATGTCGCCGCATGACGCGGCCAGCGCTCGCATACGCACAACATCCGTGTCCACGTCGGACGAGGGCATTGTCATTGACTTCAAGGAGGATCGCAAGAAAAAGGTGAGTGATGCAAACCGTGGCAGATACATCTAGCAGATGCATAGCACAGATAGATAGATAGATAGATACGCGTAGAATGCGGTCAGGAGAGGTGGAGCGTGACTGTTTGTTGCATTTTAATTGCAACTTTGTGTATAGATTTTAATTGCCATAATTATGTAAATGTCGGGCGGTTGGGCATATTTTTGGCACGGCCACACGGCGCATACTTGATGCGCCGCTTGTGCCCATTACTCATACGCAGTGTGGCACATAGCGAGGTATTACAAAAAGAACAAAAAAAAAAATCGAAATAAATGTTGAGAGCCCTCGGTAGCCGCATCAATCACACAAAAGGGCAATGTCAGCAGCTCGTTCACTTCACACACAAGCGAACAAAATCAATAGCCAGCCAGCTCCGGCTCTTTAAATAATTATGTTTGAACTTTAAGGGCCTCCGCCTGAAATCAAGAACCGAAACAAAACTTACGCAACCGAAAGACACAACAGACAACGAGCCAACAAAAAACTAGAAAAAAAATACAAAAACCGAGCAGAAACCCCCCCCCCCTTTTAACGGACAGTCGGCCGTTCCCCGTTTGTTTGTCCACAAACTGTATGCCCAACTAGTTACGTGTGTTTGTGTGTGTGGGCTCGTGTGTTTGGCTATTTCGTTTAGAGCTTTTAAGGGCTCTTAACAGCAAACACACAAAAACCTACAACTGCGGGAAGAACAAATAGCAAAGTGAGCAGCAGCAGCCGCCGCGATAGAATATGTTAACCTTGAAAGTCTGATTAGATTTTCATATGGTGGTTATTTGCTTTATTTACATTCATTCCGGCAAAAGCACATACAGAGCGAAAAGCTCAGGCCTAGGCTAGCGGGAAAATCTCATTAAAAATTGTTTTTTATACAGAAAATTAAATTTATGTTTTAGGACATATTTTCTAGATTTATTTGATACTTTTTTTTTAGTCTGACTGCTGTGACTGACTCTCTTTGTATAAACTAGCTTGGCCACAACTTGACTTCTTCTTGTCCAAGTCCAATCAATTTTCCATTCATTTCAATTAGTCAAACGCTCTCCCGTCTACGCCTCCCAGCAGCTGCACTTTCACTTTCCATACCTGTTGCACAACCGAAAAGAAACAAAAAAAAAAAAGCTGACCCAAAGCGTCAAACTTCCTGCTCCGCCGTCCGTCTGTGTCAGTTTTCTGTGGCCGGGAGTGCGCATTTGAATTTATGTCAGACTCGCCGGGCCACGCCCACCCCACAAAAACACCAAATACAAACAAACAAACAAATGCACAAAATGAACACAATGGAAAAGTTTATTTTGCCAAGGCGTGGCTGGTTAATTGAAAAGATATATGCCGCATTTCCGCATCTTGCATCTCGGAGCGAACACAGCCCAGCTGGGGCCTAAACGATCGCCGAGAACGAATGCAATTAATGTCTAATTGTGCGCAATTATTGTCAGTTGTCAGCTGTGTGTGATGTGCCGCATCAAAATGCACTCGAGCCGCCGTCGAAATCCAAATCGAAATCCAACTGGAGATCTTCAAGGCGGCCACGTGGCGCATACGTAATATTGAATCTCTATCTGGCAGCTGACATTACTCATACGCACTGTTAGATGCATCAATGATTAACCTTCGCACAGCTCGGGCTCATATAAATGGAACGGAATAAAATAATGTAAAAAACAATAGAAGGAGGCAGCCAGAAATTACTCATGCACTGGCTTTTGTCTCTCTCACCATCATCATCATCATCGTCATGGCAGTGTGCGGGTTATTACTTAAAATGCAGATTTATGTGCATTTACATTTACCATTTACCACCACCCATGACAGCCGCCGCTTGCCTTTTAATCAAGGCCCTTGCCATTGCAATTGCTGGCCGCAAGGCTGCCTGGCTTCGGCTCGGCTCTGCTGCCACCCATTAACCGAAAGCCAAGCGACTCAGCGCTTGCCAAGGCAACGCCACCGCCACCGCAATGGGTGGTTAAGCGCTCTCCCATAAATCGCCCCGGCTCACCACACACGACACACGACGAGGAGCCGGCGATGGCCGCCAAAAGGAAGGTCGATCCTGCAGGGGAATTGAAAAGGCAAACTGCCGCAAGGGCATGTGACAAGCAATCAGAGCCCACAATTTGCGGTGACAAGTGCAAGTAACTCTAGTGAATCATAAACTACACAGAGATACACAGCTCCCCATAGAATTTCCCAATGAAATTCTCACTTTTCCGCAGAATTATCCGCCTTAATTGGACCGAACCCTTTGAAACCCGCCTCAGCATTCACTTTGTAGATGCGGCTAATTGCACACGCCATATTTCCCGGTATAAACTTTTCAAATTCCAACTATACTATAGCATAGTTTCTGTTTTTCCTATTTTTTCGTTGTTTTTTTTTCCAACTAATTTGTTTTATAATATCAAACGGCAACAAAAACGCCAAAGCCCAAGCCAAAGCCCAAGCCAAAGCCAAAGCAAACAGGCAAATTATAGTGCACGGCCGGAGCAGACAGCGCGGCGGGTGATTCAGGGCTGCCCCTTTCGCCCTTCAGACCCGTCCCCGCCCTCTGTGCAACGCGGGTGGCTGGGGAGCGTTGCGGTTAGCTGGCATTAAGCTTTTGCAATGCCTGACAGTTGAAACACAAACACAAACACAAGCAACAAAGCGAGGGGAAACTGCATTTGCGGCCAGCCAACATGGCGCGGCACACGTGTCCCAGTGTGTGTGTTTGTGTGTCACACTGAGAAAAAAAAAACCAGCCAAGTGCTATGATTCTTCATTTGACAAAGGCTTTCATTAATCATACATTTAGAAGCGCACTCGGAGCAATGATTAAGTATTTTAATTAAAAGCAAATACTTGTGCGAGTCTAATATATATTTATTTCGTAATTCCACTGAAAGAAAACTGTATGTTGACTTAGAATTTATTAAACTTTAAATGTTATCTTGAGTCTGTATATAATCTTTTCTAGGAAATTACTTTTCTTGAGTGACTTAGCTTGTATTTGCAAGTTTTTTAATTGTTTTTAATTTGATATGACTTGTAAAGAAACTCATCTTCTTAATATAACCATATTTACAGAGTTTTTTTTGAGTGTATCTATGTGCTTTGGCTTAGCTGCTTTTCCCTTTTTTTTGACAAATGTTCACGAGTTTTGCAGCTGGCATCAGAAGCCCCAAACAGCACCAACTGCATTTGCATTTATTTTTGAACAAGCCCCAATGCTGCCGCTGCTGCTGGCGGTCGCTCTTTAAATAAGCTTTAATTTATATTTATGATTTCGTGCTTCGCCTCACCTGCGCCTTGGTTTTGCATTATTTCGTATTTCTTAACTTTCTGCACAAAAAGTATTTTTATTTTTAAACCGAAAAATAAGATCGGCAGAGGCAGAAATATGGCAAAATTTAATTAAAATCGCTACGAGTGCCTTTGACGGGCTCTGCAGCAGCAGCAGCAGCAGCAACCTTGGAGCTACAGCAACAGCAACATTCACCTCACCTCACCACACACTCGAGCACCTCAAGCCAGCAACAATTGCTTTGCCTTTGGCAGCCGCACAGCATCGACGTCAGCATGAGCGGCCTGTGTGTGTGTGTGTGTGTATTAATTTCACTCATATGGCTGTTAACCTTGAATTCTGATTAGGAAGCGATTTAAATTTATCTACAAGTCATTTTTCTTGGCTCTGGCACTCGCCTTTCGTTCGCTCGCTCGCCTTTATTGAGTTATTATTAAAAGTTAATTGTGCCGCTAAAAAGCCATTTGGATCTACCCTTCCTCCCGATGCCTCACTCCGCCCTTCGATGTGCAATTTGCCAGGCATTAGCAACTGCAAATGACTTGGCCAAAGTGTCGACATCTTGGCTGCGTTGGTAGATTAGGCAACCCAGTGAGGCGGGCACAAGGGGCGTATGAGTAATGACTGAGAAGCGAAACAGCTGGGGCGCAAATGTAATTACACCTTAAGCAGAATAAATGTCAGCCCACACAGAAAAACCCTAGGATAGCCTAGATCAAGCAATTGCCTTAAAGATATTTTATATATTTATGCAAGTAATCTAGGAATTTATCACAAAACTTTAGTGCAAATATTCTGAAATATTTCAAGCGTCATTTAAACTTATCACCAAAGCTGACAAATGGCTCACGTCTCAAGCATTTTTGCATTCAACAAGCAACGCCAAGGCAAAGGCAAAAGTAAAGGCAAAGGCAAAGGAAATGGAAAATGGAAATATGAAAATTGATGCCGCAATCCGTCAAAAGTCAGTTGCAGGAGTGCCCACATACAGAGGCACTCGTCGTGCGTGCCAGTATGAGTGTGCCATGAGTGTGTCGTGCCATCGGTGTGGGAGAAACGAACTCATAAATTTATCATAATTGCAGAAATGTGACTAAGGCAAATGGCACAGCTAAAAATGCAATAAAAATAAACGTACATTTCCCTACGTATTGTGGCTACGTACGCAGTTAGCGGGAGGAAGGCCAGGCCATTTTCCGTATTGGAAAAATGCATATTTTCCACGGCAGCAGCAATAGCAGCACAAGCAGCGCTAGATCTGTGCCAAGTGCACATATGCAGGCGGAAAGGCGGAAAAGTGGGAAAAGCAGGCAAGAGCAACAAATGCAGCGCCAATTTTCATGTTCAAGGTGACAAAACGAAACTAAACGAAGCGAACGGACACTCGAGCCAAAAGCTTCAGCTCATCGTTTGGCCTCGTTTCCGTTTTGCTTTGGTTGGCTCTCCTCTATGCACCGTTTTCCCTCTGTTTCTCCGTTTCTCTCTGTGTGTTTTTTTTTTAGCTTGCTGCAGTTTGAACCTGGCTATATTTGTCATCGCCCAGAAGGAAAATCAGGGAAAGACCACCGCAAAAGTAAACATTTCCCTAGCATCGAGCAAATGTAGTGCCCATTTCGGCACACTGTCATCCGCATTGGCAGAGCCCGAAAAAGAGCGCATCGCCGAATGCGGAATTTGGCATTGGGCTTGGTGGCCC